AGTGTGCAGTAAACCAAATTCGGGTCCGACAGTGTCCCAGCAACAACAAAACCCACTGCCGATGTGGAATCATGCTTTCTCCTCTATGGTTTTGGGGTGCATCACCTGAGAACCACCACTGCCAAGTCACAGCAGCTACTGTGTTGAGGGTATGCCCCTGGTGGTCAGTGCACATCATAGCAACTGGTCATTCTGCTGTTCAGTAGATTTGCATATTAGCCTTTAATTATATAGGACTAGAGGCCCAGTGCATGAAATTCGTGCACTTGGGGGGTCCCTCAGTCGAGCCTGTGCCCTCTCACAGTCCAGGAGCCCTCGGGGGATGTCCGTTTGCTGGCTTAGGCCCACGGGGAGCAGGTGTAAGCCGGTAGTTTGACATCCTTAGTGCTGCTGCAGAGGTGGGAGAGGCTTCCGCCACCGCCACTGCGCTCACCAGCTGTGCGCCAGCTTCTGGCTGATTGGCACTTCCCCTGTGGGAGCACACTGACCACCAGGGGGCAGCTCCTGTGTTAAAGCGATCTTTTGTCCTGCTGTTAGGTCGATTTGCATATTAGCCTTTTATTATATAGGCTGTTGATATTCACTGCAGGCTAATATTCCAACTAATGTCACAACTTTCATGTCAGAATGTGTACACCATCTGCCCCAATTCTTGGAATGTCAGATCCTTGGGAGCAGGGGCACCCTGTGTAAATTTTTTGTGCCCAAGCTCTTTGAATAAAGGTCTTTGTATGCAGAAAATAAGCTTTGGAGTCACATTCCATAAAACGTTATTAACATTTATAGGTCTACTCAGGTTTTCTCTTTGTTCTTGATTTGATTGGTAATTAATTTCTTTTAGAAATTGTCCACTTCAGCCAGGCCAGCATGGCTCAGTGGTTGAATGTAGACCTATGTACTAGGAAGTATGGTTCGATTCCTGGTCAGGGCACTTGCCAGGGAGTTGAATGTAGACCTATGTACTAGGAAGTCATGGTTTGATTCCTGGTCAGGACACTTGCCAGGGTTGAGGGCTCGATCCCCAGTAGGGGGCATGCAGGAGGCAGTTGATCAATGATTCATTCTCATCATTGATGTTTCTGTCTCTCTCTCTCTCTCTCCCCTTTCCTCTCTGAAATCAGTAAAAACATTTTTTTTTAAAAAGAAAAAAACGTCCATTTCACCTTACTTTTCAAAGTTATTGGCATAATTTTTCCAATACTGTTACTCTAATTTTTTTTTCTGCAATAGAATTACACCTTCCTTTTCATTATGCATTTTGTTTCATTGATGAGTTTATTGTTCTCTTGATAAGCCATATCATGGCCACACCACATGGTCAATAGGCTGGTAGAGGGAGGAAGAGGTTCAGAGATGAATCCCATTCTCTCTCTGGCAATGAGCTATTTGCAAATCAACTATATCTCATGCCTACACGAGATTCTCACCCAGGGTATTTATTGTCACCAGTCACAAGTCTGAGGGGGTACAAACAGCAGTCAACTCTCACAGACATCCAACAAAGAGTGTCTGCATGAAGCCCAGTTCCTCCTGCTTAATCCCTCCCCCAGCATTACCATTTATTTCAAAAATTCAAAAGCTGGACAGTTTAATGTGCAAGTCAAAGGCCAAAGAAATAGCCAGAGCTCTGCTCAGTGTCCTGATGAATGTGTTAAAAAGAAATGTGATTAGAGAAATGATAGTGTTAAGCAGGGAATTATGCAGCTTGCTCATGTTTTATGAATTAACTGCTCTTCTGAATGATAATAGTCTGAAACATTACCTTGTGACTTTTTCTTTTTGATGGTGGTAGTGATGGTGATGGGGTGTCTGTGTGGGGTGGGGAGGGGGTGTGAAATGCATGTGGATAATACTTTCCATACATTTTACCTTTTGTTATGAAAATTCAAGGAGAAATTGGCCTATTTGCACAAATAAAATATTGAAGACCTTTGTTTGTATATGTGGAAAGAAAGACCCCTGAAGAGAATCAACCAGAAGGTCACCGACTCTGGGTTTGAAACATAGTGGATGATGTGGGCCAGCAACAAACTACCCACACCATAGAAAAGCCCCTGTTCTTATCAAGCTAAAGACCGGATGAGTGAATTTATGTGCAAGTGAGAAATGACACAGAGCTTCCAGGTAGATCACATGCTTATGACCAACATTTAAATATGATATTGGGAGATATGGAAGAAACTGTGACCACTAAAGAAACTCATGAAGAAACACATGAAGAGATATATAAATCAACAAAACGAAATATTCCAATTCTCTCTGTCTGGGGAGAAGGTGTTGTGCTAGTTGTCCCAACATTGAGAGTTGGCTGAAACCAAGAATGTATCCTGCATGGAAATTAGGAGACTGTATTACTGTGTCTTTAAATATAGAAGATATTCAAAATAGAAACCTGCATAAATTTTGATATTAAGAAATGACCATGGATTCTTCCACTCCCGAAACGAGTTGATTTACACATAGCTCACAAATTCTTAAGCTAAATGGCATTTTTATTTTTCTCCAACCCTTCCAATAAATATGATCACCAAGATGTAGATCTCTATTTTAGGAGCTGATTTGCTCCATTGACTTTTTTCAGACAGTTGCTGATTTTTTAAATGTAAATTAAATATGATGTTTTCTTTTTTTTGTTTAAAAATAAAAAAGATCACCAACACAATTGGCAACATTAACCCTAATGTTTTTAACCCCCATGCTTTGCATGACACAGAGGCAAGACATTTTATTTTGAGCCAGAATAAAGGCAGGACTCTAAGTGGAAGAAGATAAGGTTTAGTTACCCTGTTGACCTGCTTGGTTCAATCACAAAGGTTCTGAAATCTACCCTGCCTGGGGATTCCATGTGCCTCTTATGCTTCCTTAGTAGTAATGCTTCTCAAATCTAATGCACCTTAGAGCTCACAGTGCTCTATTATTATTTTAATGCTTTCTGTGTTATCCCGGGGGTTCTGCTTGCTCTGGCTTTATTTTGATATTCTTCTGGTTTCTTCAAGTGGAATTTGTAAAGATTATTTTTATAAAGAGGCATAGAGATTTGTAAACTTTTCTGGGGTTTAATAGGGGATAACTCTATGGTCAGAGGTGGAGGGACGAATGTGGGTTGGAACCTAGCTCTGCTGATTTGCTAGGGGATGACTTCGCTAAAGCAGCTAAAGCAACCATCTGAGTCACAGTTTCTTCCTCAATAATCTGCGGATGATCATTCACAACTGGCCTGGTTGCGATAAGGAATAGATGTAACACATTCAGGTGCTTAGCTCCATGTCTGATGGAGCAGTGAGTTCAGCAAAGAGAAACATTATCGGCCAAGTCCAACATGGCTTGCAGCATGCCTGGAGTCTGCCTCTGACCTCCTTCTCCAGAGTTACCTAACAGAGTAACTACCATAAATGCATTAAGAATGATGCCAGAAAGGCAGTGCAAATTAATTAAACATACACAACCATGAAATATTCAGAACGACTCGATTCTAAAGGAATTTTCAAAGGGGTTAGGATGTGACGCTTGCTGAAATCCAGAGACTAACCCTTCATATGTTTCCCCCAAAATGTACTTGTGTTCTGAGCATAATTATTTGGGGATAGGAAACATAGCAGAGGTCACTGTCCAGAGGGTTAGCAGTTTCCTCTTTCTAATCATCAGGGCAGTCTGTGCAAAAGCCAAGATGAGGCAAAGACTACCTCAGTCCATCCCCATTTTGCAGCCAAAGCTAGGGTTATATATTGCCATGCCCCTTCTGCTGCCTTATGGCTACTCTGATTCAGACAAGAAGGGATGAGCAGCAGTTCATGAAAGTAACTCTGGTCTCCATGACCTGAGCCAAAGGAAGGATTTGGAAAGATAGAGCCCCATACACTGGCAGTTTCCAACCAGACCTCGATCCAGCATCTCACAACATGAACAAATCTATAAATAATAAGCAAATAAAATGCTGAATGTTTATCCATATTCTGAGGATGTGCCCATTAGAAGTATCATTGCACCTGTGTTCCAGGGAATCGCTCACAAATGAAGAGCTAGTAAAATTCCACATGCCCGCAAGTGGCCAAATCATAACAGAAGGCCTTCTATCAGCTGGGTAGAATGCAGCACGCTAAGCAGGAAACTCTAGTTAGAGCCATGGGCATATTTCTCCAGAAGTGCTTTCTCCGTCTCTGGGCAAGCTTACACCTTTGAGTAGCACCTCATTAATTCAGAAGGCACTAATTGGGAAGATGCAGCAGTGAGGATGTAGAAAGAGGGAGACGTACAACATAATAGCTGAGGTGTGGGGAGCTCATCAAGCACTTCATCACCCACCACACAAGCTGCTCACCTATAGTCCCAGGGCTCTGGTCTGCCTCTGGGAACATAAGACCATGGGAAGTTTAAAGACAAAGCAAACTGACTGGATCTGCCTGCTGATTCATTCCATGAGCACTCATCCACAAGGGGTGAATGAGGCAGAGGAGATGGAGATACGCTTAATTAGAAACAGCAAAGGCATTCTTGCTCCTATTTTTGCCTGGGCAACCAGAGTTTCTGTTTGGACCACTGCATTCAATAATGGAGGCTCACAGCTTTTTATCTGAAGCATTGATTTCCACTTGCTGAACCAAGAAAGCTGGTTTTCATCTTGCAGATATGTGATGCGATTACAAAACATACTTTCCATGCAAGAAGCACAGTGAAGGGAACTGAGTAACCCCTCCTGACTTTATAATGAAAAAGACTCTTTGAACAAGGTGTGCAGTCGAGGGTAAATGTCTGTTCCAACAGTGTGCATGACTCACCTACCCGGATGGGGCAGGTCCAGTTCATGTCCAGTGCTTTTTGGTAAATATAGAAATGGGCCCATTGAATAGGGAAATGTGTCAGAGGTTGGCAGCCTAGTTGGGTATATTTTCTGAAGGTTGCCTGGAACATTAGCGCCAACGATAGGCCGGTATGGAAGGTCTGCTATGTGCCTGGCAGTGTGCTAGACAAGTTACGCACTTACTTTAGTTGTCACATACTAGGCTTATTGGACATGCTAACTCAACAGGGAGCAAATAAGAAGAGAATATTTTCCCCTCATCATTGCCCTTTAAGCCTGCACTTTAGAATTGAACCTCAGTAAAATCTCAAGCGAATTTCCCATCTTCTCTTGTTACTTTCCCATTAAAATGAGTCTCGTTTGTGAGAGGCCGTTTTACCAGTCCAGTGTTTTCTAATTTCAAACACGACTCTCTCAACAGATTTAAAACCCTCGCCCTGAGCTCAAGGTGGACTCGAGCATGGACACAGTGCTGACTCAACAGGGAGCAAATAAGAAGAGAATATTTCCCCCTTATCATTGCCCTTTAAGCTTGCCCTTCAGAATTAAACCTCAGTAAAATCTCAAGCGAATTCCCTATCTTCTCTTGTTACTTTCACATTAAATTGAGTCTCGTTTGTGAGAGGCCATTTTACCAGTTCAGTGTTTTCTAATTTCAAACAACGACTCTCTCAACAGATTTAAAACCCTTGCCCTGAGCTCAAGGTGGACTCGAGCATGGACACATACAGTGGGAAAGTGGTGATGTGCTCAGAGTCCTCGCTGTGTCCTTCCGTCTCTTCCACTCCTTTCTGATTGCTAACTATCTCCCGTCTCCAGGGTTGGAGCAGAAGGATGAGGGGGAGGGCAGGGAAGGTTTCACGGGACTGTGCCATTTTAGTGTGGCTGTGGAGCCCACTGATTATGGCGGACGCTGGCTTGGAGAGTCCTCTGTGTTGGCACCACTTTGTGTTCTGTCTGTGGGTACTGACTGCCCCTTCCTCCTGGTCAGACCACTCCTCCTTGGGCCTTGTTCTGACCACATGCTCCTGTCCACACAGGCTGCCTTGTTGGTGGGCTCCCTTCTACAATGACCCAAGCCAATTGCCACCTTTGGCACACACGCAGGTGGCCCACATGCTTGTCTTGACTGGCCCCTTGCAGGCCGCCTTACTTGCCATGCTCAGGGCCTATCCAGTTAGCATGTCCCTTAAGAGAGTTAAGCACCCTGCATCACCCAAACGCCAAAGGACCCTCACAAGTCCTCACCATGTAATTCACCTCAAGGATTTATTGAGTCCCTACCACTTGCCAAGCACTGTTCAAGGTACTCAGATTACAGCAATGAGCAAAATAACGGCCTCCCCGCAAGGAATTTACATTGTAGAGTAGTGAGACAGATAATGACTACAGAACTAGTAAATGACATAAGTTACATGATGATAGATGCTATGTAGAAACACGAAGCAGGGGAGGGAGATGGGATTGCTGAAAGAGAATCAGCATGTTAAATGGTCAGGGAAGACGGCAGCCAGGAGGCTTGGAGAGGATCTGTATGTGGGACCAAGAATCTTTCTCTACATCCCCCATGCATCTCTTAGTGGCATTGGGGCCCCGAACCCACAACTTCAAGGTGGGATAAAGGATGGACCTTCTTCTTGGAAGCACATCCTCTTCTACCAGCAGGGGACTCGAGGTGTCAGAAGCACATCCTTCCAGTCCCCTCCTTGTCAAAGAATTCTGTTTCCCTTGTATATCCTCTTCTATACACTTAAAGAAGTTAATCAACTATGATTTTTAGAAAATCATTCCTTAGCAAATTCTATATGTATGATCTGGGCTTCATTTTTTAATATTTCATGATCATTTCATATCCTCTGTTTTTCAGCTTCTGGACCTCAGACACAATTCCTTGACCACAGGAAAAGGATTACTCAGCTTCCTGGGAGATACATTGAAGAGACTGAGTCATTTAATCAAAGTCTCAGATAAGAGGCCATGGGGATGTAGATCTAGTTTTCCTGTACAAGGGTTTTTTAATTAGATCATGCTTGAATTTTAAGAAGGTATCACTCAGACAAACAGGCAAATAAACCAAACAAACCAAATAAAGGAAGAATACCTATTAAACTATGTATTAGTTATCCAATAACCCTGAACATCCAGGCTGCTCTCTATTGCACAAACTCGGCTCCCAATTTCTCTGCTTTGATGAGATCATTAAAAAACAAATCTTTGAGATGTTCTTGTAAAGGATGTGTTCCGGTGATGTCTCAGACTGAACAGGTAATTCAATCTCTAAAACTGCCATCTACTTGTTGGGAGTGATCTGCTTTATTAACAGAAAAATAAAGTACCTGTATCTTTTTAGCAACATCAACTTCTCACCAAATTTTAGATATTCTCCCTTTTATCACGTTGCCCAGATGATGGTACATGGTTTTGAAAGGATAACAATGCGCAGTTGAAAATTAGTTTTAACTAGAATTTGGAGTGTTATCACTTTAGCCACCTGTATTCAGCATCATTAAGAGA